CCACCCGGATTACCACCGTTGCCATCCGGCCCACCACCGTTACCACCCGGCCCACCACCGTTACCACCCGGGCCACCACCGTTACCACCCGGGCCACCACCGTTACCACCCGGGCCACCACTGTTACCACCCGGGCCGCCACCGTTACCACCCGGGCCACCACCGTTACCACCCGGGCCACCACCGTTACCACCCGGGCCACCACCGTTACCACCCGGGCCACCACCGTTACCACCCGGGCCACCACCGTTACCACCCGACCCACCACCGTTACCACCCGGCCCACCACCGTTACCACCCGGGCCGCCACCGTTACCACCCAAACTCTGGTGGGCCTCCATTTGGATTACTGTAGCCAAGCATAGCGACTCCATCTGCAGAAGGATATAACTGCTGTGAAGGTGCAACACCGGGCAACAAAAGTCATACCAGAGCTAAGTCAACTCACGTGTCAGGAACGGTTGAGGGCCGCCGTCCTCACACTACAAGCCACGCATGACAGGCTGGATCACACTGAAACATTTAAACTGAACAATTTGGAGGATGTTGATCCAGAAGATTTCTTCTAAAGGTCAGATGTAACACGAACGAGGAACAACGGGTTCAAGCTCAACAAGCCACAATGTAGGACTGAAAAGGAGATGTTTGTTCACCCACAGGGTTATAAACCCATGGAACCGCCTACCCGCTGAAGCCGAAACTGCCAAAAAACTTAACTTTTAAGGTACAGTCGACAAGGGGGCGTCGACAAGCCGCCAGCTTCCTGTCCTCGTCGTGGCCACTAGTGTCAGTGGCTCTGAGGTAAACTCAGGTAAAACATCCACACTTACACCGGGAGAAGATAGGAGTTCCTTGTGGCTTCTCTCCGTAGCCTGATACAGGTCCACCTCTTCTCTCTCAATGGCACAAATTGCCGACCGTTATTTTTAAAAAAAGTTTTTTTTAAAATAACGGTCGGCAATTTGGGGGTCACCATGAAGCATTTACCCACCCACCTACGAAACCTGTACATCTATAAACAATTATAACCGGCTTTGTTTAAATTGAAGTCCCGAAGAACTATGAGGTCGTTTAAAACAATAATATCATTGAATGTGAACTTTTATAGCTTGTAAACTGCTTTATAAATGTAAATAAAGTCGCCATGATTAAGAAAGATGCACATGTTTCGTAAGTGGATGTGTAAATTCTTGATGACCTCTGGCAACAATATGTCTCCAGGACTCGTACGCACACTGCAATCTATTTGTTATTTTTCTTCTTGATAGCGAGATATCAAGTGAGATATTATAGCGAGATATTTTTCTTCTTGATAGCGAGATATCAAGTGAGATATTATAGCGAGATATTTTTCTTCTTGATAGCGAGATATCAAGTGAGATATTTTTCTTCTTGATTGTTAGTTTTCCTCTTGATCTTCTAAACTATCCCTCAAGTCCAGACACATTGAAAAGGTCTGGGGCCAGATTCACGAAAGCACTTACGAACGTGTACATCTTTTCTCAATGTTTGGCGACTTTGTTTACAATTATTAAACAGTTAATGAGCTCCGAAGCACCAGGAGGCTGTTTATAACAACAGTTGATTGGCAAGTTTTTATGCTTGTAAACTGTTTAATAAATGTAACCAAAGCCGTTAAAGATTGAGGAAAGATGTACACGTTCGTAAGTGCTTGCGTAAGTGCTTTCGTGAATCTGGCCCCTGGTGGCCAGATGTTCCCCAGGCCACAGTCCTGGCACCGCTGGTATTTCTCATTCTCTTATCAGGTGACAGCTTCGTGTCATTCTCTGCAAGCGGTACACCAATCAGCATGCACATCACCTCTCTCTCTAGAGGACACTGAAGAACTACAAGCCGATGTCAACAAAATCTTCGATTGGGTAACAGAGAGGAACACGATGTTTTACAGTGGTAAGTTACAGGGACCTTTGCCATCGTCAAAATGAAACACACAGATGAAATACAGGACACACAATCAGATCTCATAAACGGAACACAAAGGATCTGGAGAATCGTGATGTCTGGTGACACACACAGAGATCACACTAACGTGATGTCTGGTGACACACACAGAGATCACACTAACGTGATGTCTGGTGACACACACAGAGATCACACTAACGTGATGTCTGGTGACACACACAGATCACACTAACGTGATGTCTGGTGACACACACAGAGATCACACTAACGTGATGCATCATATGAACAAACCCACAAAATATGGACATGCACATCACCACTCATGAACATCACATGCATGCAAAATAGGAGAGGCTACGGGATCCAGTAAGTTCAGTAGAACTTCGGTTTCAACCCTTTTAACCCTGTCGTAGCTCAGTCGATTAAGGCAATGTCTGGGATGCTCTCGGACGCAGGTTCGAATCCTCGTCACGGCCCTTGTGGATTTGTTCATGTCTGGCGACCTAATGTTTGTGAGCATAAAGCAAGTACAGCGTCAAGCAGGAACATGATACGATGGATCATGAGAATCTTCAAATCCAGGAATCGCACCACGCTTCTAATATTATTACCCAAATCCCTGTCCTGTCCCGTCTTGGGGGTACTGCTCATGGTCACTCCCCGAGCCTCCGGAGCAGGAGAGGCTGCTGAAATAGAGGGAATACAGAGAACATGTACGGCGCGCGCGCGCGCGCACACACACACACACACACACACACACACACACACACACACACACACACACACACACACACACACACACACACGATGAAACACAAATTATTGTGACCATTTCAAAGTTTCAAAATATACTCTGGGGAAGGAGACGAGATGAGTGCCACATCAAATATACAGGCAAGACAGTGGAAGGCCAGGTCCCAAGTTTGCTTACCAAAATAACAACATACTGGAGTGAACGTTACGGCAAGAAATGCAAAATAGATCTAATGACTAGAGGTGATAATCACAATCAGAGTGATTATCTGAATCCCAATCATAATCCCAATCAGAAAGCACTAAGAATATCTGAGGTCCACGGCTACACAATATCCTCCTAGCAAGTGTAAGGAATATTGCGGAACAAATGACGACATTCATAGTAGACACTTCAAGAAGTGCCAGACCAACCAGGCTGTGGTGGATATGTGGACCTGCGGGCCGCGCCAAGTAACAACCTTCTAGATCAAGTTATTAACACGTCTGGCCTGGCCCTAGGCCGCGCATGGGGTGTAGAACTCCCAGAACCCACAACAGGTATATTGTACAGGACAGTTGTGGCTTCCCATATTCCTAACCTTCCGCTCCCCTCTGGACTTGTCTCCCCCCCTTTCTCTCTCTGACCTTTGCTCCCCTTTCTCTCTTACACACACTGGCACTAGAGTACTCGTGTGTGGCGGCTCCCTATCACCCTAGATGACACGCGGACTGCCACTCAGGGTGACGGGCTGCCACCCAGGGTGACGGGCTGCCACCCAGGGTGACGGGCTGCCACCCAGGGTGACGGGCTGCCACCCAGGGTGACGGGCTGCCACCCAGGGTGACGGGCTGCCACCCAGGGTGACGGGCTGCCACCCAGGGTGACGGGCTGCCACCCAGGGTGACGGGCTGCCACCCAGGGTGACGGGCTGCCACCCAGGGTGACGGGCTGCCACCCAGGGTGACGGGCTGCCACCCAGGGTGACGGGCTGCCACCCAGGGTGACGGGCTGCCACCCAGGGTGACGGGCTGCCACCCAGGGTGACGGGCTGCCACCCAGGGTGACGGGCTGCCACCCAGGGTGACGGGCTGCCACCCAGGGTGACGGGCTGCCACCCAGGGTGACGGGCTGCCACCCAGGGTGACGGGCTGCCACCCAGGGTGACGGGCTGCCACCCAGGGTGACGGGCTGCCACCCAGGGTGACGGGCTGCCACCCAGGGTGACGGGCTGCAACCCAGGGTGACGGGCTGCAACCCAGGGTGACGGGCTGCAACCCAGGGTGACGGGCTGCCACCCAGGGTGACGGGCTGCAACCCAGGGTGACGGGCTGCAACCCAGGGTGACGGGCACCCTTGTGGGGTAAAGACCCACAAAGAACGTCGCTGCCAGTATGAAACAAAACAGAAAACGAACTGCATAAAACAGTCAAGAGAGACACACTCTGTGATCCAAACCTGCTTCACGAAGTGAGCAGCCAACACATGTGAGGTGTGTGTGTGCTTACACTCAAACACAGTAATGTCCGGTGAATGGTGTATCTATCACCAGTCACGGAATAGCAGTGATACTAGTTGTTAGCCAGCCCGACACCTACACTCTCCTGGAGCGTGGAAATAGCCTCAGCTACTCTATCCCTTTGACATGTATTTTATTGTCTCAATAAACGTACTTTAACTTACACTCTCTACACACTTCTCGTTCAAAAATTGCTTTGCTTTACCGAATTCTATGTAATTGAAGACTATATATATATATTGACCCCAATAGACTTTTGTTGTTGCAAATTATCGAGGTGCTTCTGAAGCAAGTTTATAACCATGATGTTAACGAAACTATTTTGAGAGTGGTGGCGAGATCGTAAACGTTTGACAAGATAAATGCTGCCAGACATGCAAACGAAAGATACATTAAACCAAAGCTATACATCTGAGGTGACCTCAAACTGAGCTTTAGTGTAAATTAGAACACAATTGTATTCTCCATATACAGCGGAGGACTACAACAATACACTATCCTGTAGCTCACAATTATACTTGTAACCGTCCTAAACCATCCCAACTCCTTATGTACCATGTCGGAAAGTTGGGCGAGGCTAGCCCAACTTCCGTTTGGACTAGCCTAGCCGACTAGCACAAACGGACTCCAAAACTAGCGTTTGGCGTCCAACCGTGGATAGACAAACCGAGACACAGACGGACAGACAGATCCTCTTTTCGCAGAGTCTGTGGCGTTGTAACAAGGCTATTTGTCCAACCCGTCCTCTTAAAAATAACGTCACTTTTGGCTGGTATGCGCACTATGGCCAAATTTGGACGTAATTTGAAATGAAATCGACTCACAAAAGTGACGTACTGTTCCGTTTTCTGTTTGAGTCGTCCGGCCTACTCGGTAAGGTTAGAAAAGTTAACTTTCCATTTACGTTTTTCATACCGTTTTGACACTTTACGAGAATTTCCTACCCACCTAACCTATCAGAGGACCCTTAACTTACTGTTGTTGAAAAAAAAATCCCAAATTTATTTTCATTTTTTTTTTATTTTCAAATTACGTCCATATTCGGCCATACGAGCAAACGGCCAAAAGCGACGTTCTTTTTAAGAGGACAGGTTGCTTTGTCAACAAGAAGATTACAGATGATTCTCCAACCTGTGGGTTAGGTTTAGAGTCACGTCAACACAATGAATCAAACCAGGGGGGGAAGGAATCTGATAAAATGAGATCACGGTTGGGTTTATTCCAAGAGTCTGAAACCTCCTTATGCCAGATGAGGAGCATCATATGCCAAACGGCTTCTGGTGGTGAGGCCACATTACATCCCTCCCACCACCAAAACACAGGTCTTTTCCAATGTCTATCCGGGTCCTCTGACAGCATACCAGATCCTATCCGGGTCCTCTGACGGCATCCCAGATCCTATCCGGGTCCTCTGACGGCATCCCAGATCCTATCCAGGTCCTCTGACGGCATCCCAGGTCCTATCCGGGTCCTCTGACGGCATCCCAAGTCCTATCCGGGTCGTCTGACGGCATCCAAGACTAATAATACATCATTTTAACTGTGCTGGAATCTTAGCCCCACAGGGAAACATGTTCACGTAGTGTACGATACTAATGGCGGGAAGACTAATGATACTAATGGCGGGAAGGACTCGGGGGGGCGGGCCCCGGGGTCAGGCGTCAGTGGTTGCTATGGAGACCATGTCAACAAAGAGACGTGGGGCGAGCGCATCACTTGACCCCCTCCTCCTCCTTCCCCCCCCTCCTCCTCCTCCTCCCCCCCTTAAGTGTGTCTTACCTGGCACAGGTGTGGGTGAGGGGGGGAGGGGGGGGCAGGTGTGGGTGAGGGGGGGAGGGGGGGGGCAGGTGTGGGTGAGGGAGGGAGGGGGGGCAGGTGTGGAGGCAGGTGTAGGCCCCCCACACACAGCTACCATACAGAGGTGAAGATAATAACAGACTGCTAGGGATAATCACTATACAGGGAGATAATTACTGAGTTAGTATGTTACCTGAGGCAGGAAGGGGAAGACACCCATCTTCCCTGGCCAGGGGTGTGTCCCTGGCCAGGGGGGGGGGTGTGCCTGGCCAGGGGAGGTGTGTGCCCCTGGCCAGGGGGGGGGGTGTGCCTGGCCAGGGGAGGTGTGTGCCCCTGGCCAGGGGGAGGGGGGTGTGCCCCTGGCCAGGGGAGGGGGCAGGGACAAGCAGCACAACACGGGACACACATTAGCACCCGAGGGAGTAATGTGTCAGATGTCAGAAGGAACTTCTTCACTTGACGAATCATAAATAAATGGAACGGACTAGATGAGGAAGTTGTTGACTGTGATAAATACTGTGAAGAATTCATATATTCACACTGAGGTTTTCATACAGGTTTTGATGTTGATGTGTCTGTTTTATTTTTTTTCCGATTTTATTGATTTTATTTTAAGAGGAAGGGAGAGAGGGAGGGATTTCTAGTATGTTATGTAGAAATTATGTATACTGGTGCTTTATTTCCATCGAGTGGATAGAGGCTCTTGGACCACCAGTTGTGGGAGTGGGGCGTCTCATCTTGGGCCACCAGTTGTGGGAGTGGGGCGGCTCATCTTGGGCCACCAGCTGTGGGAGTGGGGCGTCTCATCTTGGGCCACCAGTTGTGGGAGTGGGGCGTCTCATCTTGGGCCACCAGTTGTGGGAGTGGGGCGTCTCATCTTGGGCCACCAGTTGTGGGAGTGGGGCGTCTCATCTTGGGCCACCAGTTGTGGGAGTGGGGCGTCTCATCTTGGGCCACCAGTTGTGGGAGTGGGGCGTCTCATCTTGGGCCACCAGTTGTGGGAGCGGGGCGTCTCATCTTGGGCCACCAGTTGTGGGAGTGGGGCGTCTCATCTTGGGCCACCAGCTGTGGGAGTGGGGCGTCTCATCTTGGACCACCAGCTGTGGGAGTGGGGCGTCTCATCTTGGACCACCAGCTGTGGGAGCGGGGCGTCTCATCTTGGGCCACCAGCTGTGGGAGCGGGGCGTCTCATCTTGGGCCACCAGCTGTGGGAGTGGGGCTTCTCATCTTGGGCCACCAGCTGTGGGAGCGGGGCTTCTCATCTTGGGCCACCAGCTGTGGGAGCGGGGCGTCTCATCTTGGGCCACCAGCTGTGGGAGTGGGGCGTCTCATCTTGTAGTAACCTTTCTAACATTTGGATGGTGTTCCACACCCTGATGGCTTGGTGCTGTAGTCTGATGTTTAGTGGCTGTGTGTTCAGGAGTTCATGGAGCTCCTGGATTGTCTGATCATATGGTGGAAGGTGTTTTGCTGCTCTTTTTAGCCTCTTATTTGGCACTGTTTGTAGTTTTTTGGATGTTAAGTTTTCTTTAAGATGGTACTGGAAGATCGGGATCCCTTCTCATTCCTCATGGAAACCCTTTCCCCATTCCCTCGAAGTCCTCTCCCTTCCCATCCACAGGTACCCCTTCCACTACCTATCCCTTGTGAACCCTTCCCCCCGAATTTCAATTCTCCGGGTACGCCTCCCTCTCCCTCCATCCCCTAAGCAACCACGACCCTCTATCCCTCCCCCCCCCCCCCATGGTCACACCCTCAGCCATACAGGAGTCTCCTCTCAGCCAGTAAAGAATTAGGGAACACCGAGACGGCCGCCATTCACATTCACTCTTCCGCGACAATGTCAATTTCCCGGCCCCGGGAAATTTTTGGTCTGCTGGTCTCGCGAAATTAGTGCCGGTAAGGAAGGTGGTGGTGGTTGGCTTGGCTCACTCTGGTCTTGCTAGCCAAAGTCTTGCTACGTCAAAGTCGTCCCCCGTCACCCCGAGGTCGTCGTCCCGGTCGTCCCCCACAACCCAGAGGGAGTCGACGTACCCTCCATCACCTGAGGTAGCATATGCACATCATATAAAAGTCTACGGTGACATCATGCCTCGTTTCACTGTCTCCAACAAATTCTTTCAAGGTTTTTCCCCAATGTCAGGGACAGAAATATATCCCCGACACTGGGTGATAGTTCCATGGCCACGAGTGACCCTCGCTGAGATGCAACCCGTAAGAGCAGACTAACTTTTCCGGCATTCATTTATTGCAAGGTCAACGGACGCACCAGGTACCAGCCGACGGACGCACCAGGTACCAGTCGACGGACGCACCAGGTACCAGCCAACGGACGCAACAGGTACCAGCCAACGGACGCAACAGGTACCAGCCAACGGACGCACCAGGTACCAGCCGACGGACGCACCAGGTACCAGCCGACGGACGCAACAGGTACCAGCCGACGGACGCACCAGGTACCAGCCAACGGACGCACCAGGTACCAGCCAACGGACGCACCAGGTACCAGCCAACGGACGCATCAGGTACCAGCCAACGGACGCACCAGGTACCAACCAACGGACGCACCAGGTACCAGCCAACGGACCCACCAGGTACCAGCCAACGGACGCACCAGGTACCAGCCAACGAACCCACCAGGTACCAGCCAACAGACGCATCAGGTACCAGCCAACGGACGCACCAGGTACCAGCCAACGGACGCACCAGGTACCAGCCAACGGACCCACCAGGTACCAGCCAACGGACGCACCAGGTACCAGCCAACGGACGCAACAGGTACCAGCCAACGGACGCACCAGGTACCAGCCAACGGACGCACCAGGTACCAGCCAACGGACGCACCAGGTACCAGCCAACGGACGCACCAGGTACCAGCCAACTGACGCACCAGGTACCAGTCAACGGACGCACCAGGTACCAGTCAACGGACGCACCAGGTACCAGCCAACGGACGCACCAGGCACCAGCCAACGGACGCACCAGGCACCAGCCAACGGACGCACCAGGTACCAGCCAACGGACGCACCAGGTACCAGCCAACGGACGCACCAGGTACCAGCCAACAGACGCACCAGGTACCAGTCAACGGACGCACCAGGTACCAGCCAACGGACGCACCAGGTACCAGCCAACGGACCCACCAGGTACCAGCCAACAGACCCACCAGGTACCAGCCAACGGACGCACCAGGTACCAGCCAACGGACGCACCAGGTACCAGCCAACGGACGCACCAGGTACCAGCCAACGGACGCACCAGGTACCAGCCAACGGACGCACCAGGTACCAGCCAACGGACGCACCAGGCACCAGCCAACGGACGCACCAGGTACCAGCCAACGGACGCACCAGGTACCAGCCAACGGACGCACCAGGTACCAGCCAACAGACGCACCAGGTACCAGTCAACGGACGCACCAGGCACCAGCCAACGGACGCACCAGGTACCAGCCAACGGACGCACCAGGTACCAGCCAACGGACGCACCAGGTACCAGCCAACAGACGCACCAGGTACCAGTCAACGGACGCACCAGGTACCAGCCAACGGACGCACCAGGTACCAGCCAACGGACCCACCAGGTACCAGCCACAGACCCACCAGGTACCAGCCAACGGACGCACCAGGCACCAGCCAACGGACGCACCAGGTACCAGCCAACGGACGCACCAGGTACCAGCCAACGGACCCACCAGGTACCAGCCAACAGACGCACCAGGTACCAGTCAACGGACGCACCAGGTACCAGCCAACGGACGCACCAGGTACCAGCCAACGGACCCACCAGGTACCAGCCAACAGACCCACCAGGTACCAGCCAACGGACGCACCAGGCACCAGCCAACGGACGCACCAGGTACCAGCCAACGGACGCACCAGGTACCAGCCAACGGACGCACCAGGTACCAGCCAACGGACCCACCAGGTACCAGCCAACAGACGCACAAGGTACCAGTCAACGGACGCACCAGGTACCAGCCAACGGACGCACCAGGTACCAGCCAACGGACGCACCAGGTACCAGCCAACGGACGCACCAGGTACCAGCCAACGGACGCACCAGGTACCAGCCAACGGATCCCAGCGTCTCGCCCGGCGCGGGATAATACCACACTCCCCGCTCTCAGCCTCGCGCCACAATCCAAGTATATAACATCACATGGATACACTCTTCTACAAAAAATAATAAACAAAACCAAAAATACTCGTTATTGTAATAATTCCCGACCATTCTTATAGGAGGATAGCGGGTCAATTTCACGATAACTTGTGATTTTTGCGACGATGCCGGTCTCAACACCATTTTGGCGCCATATTGATAACAAATCACGACCACCAGTGACGAAACCTTACAAAAATATGTAAATTTTGGCATTATGTAATATTACATATATATAAAACAGTTACCCTCTTGGATTAAGAGGACAGTGACCCCCTGATATACGGACACAGTGACCTACTGTTACAAGGACCCAATAGGCCGGGTGGAGGCGAGGCGTGGGTCGCTCTGGACGTGTGCCGGGGTGAAGGGTGAGTGTGTCGGGGTGAAGGGTGAGTGTGTCGGGGTGAAGGGTGAGTGTGTCGGGGTGAAGGGTGAGTGTGTCGGGGTGAAGGGTGAGTGTGTCGGGGTGAAGGGGGAGTGTGTCGGGGTGAAGGGGGAGTGTGTCGGGGTGAAGGGTGAGTGTGTCGGGGTGAAGGGGGAGTGTGTCGGGGTGAAGGGGGAGTGTGTCGGGGTGAAGGGGAGTGTGTCGGGTGAAGGGGGAGTGTGCCGGGGTGAAGGGTGAGTGTGCCGGGGTGAAGGGTGTGTCAGGGTGAAGGGTGAGTGCGTCAGGGTGAGTGTGTCGGGGTGAAGGGTGAGTGTGTCGGGGTGAAGGGTGAGTGTGTCGGGGTGAAGGGTGAGTGTGTCGGGGTGAAGGGTGAGTGTGTCGGGTGAAGGGTGAGTGTGTCAGGGTGAAGGGTGAGTGTGTCAGGGTGAAGGGTGAGTGTGTCGGGGTGAAGGGTGAGTGTGTCGGGGTGAAGGGTGAGTGTGTCGGGGTGAAGGGTGAGTGTGTCGGGGTGAAGGGTGAGTGTGTCGGGGTGAAGGGTGAGTGTGTCAGGGTGAAGGGTGAGTGTGCCAGGGTGAAGGGTGAGTGTGCCAGGGTGAAGGGTGTGTCAGGGTGAAGGGTGAGTGTCGGGGTGAAGGTGGAGTGTGTCAGGGTGAAGGTGGAGTGTGTCAGCGTGAAGGGGGAGTGTGTCAGGGTGAAGGGGGAGTGTGTCAGGGTGAAGGGGGAGTGTGTCGGGGTGAAGGGTGAGTGTGTCGGGGTGAAGGGTGAGTGTGTCGGGGTGAAGGGTGAGTGTGTCAGGGTGAAGGGTGAGTGTGCCAGGGTGAAGGGTGAGTGTGCCAGGGTGAAGGGTGTGTCAGGGTGAAGGGTGAGTGTCGGGGTGAAGGTGGAGTGTGTCAGGGTGAAGGTGGAGTGTGTCAGCGTGAAGGGGGAGTGTGTCAGGGTGAAGGGGGAGTGTGTCAGGGTGAAGGGGGAGTGTGTCGGGGTGAAGGGGGAGTGTGTCGGGGTGAAGGTGGAGTGTGTCTGGGTGAAGGGGGAGTGTGTCAGGGTGAAGGGGGAGTGTGTCAGGGTGAAGGGGGAGTGTGTCAGGGTGAAGGGGGAGTGTGTCAGGGTGAAGGGGAGTGTGTCAGGGTGAAGGGGAGTGTGTCAGGGTGAAGGGGGAGTGTGCCAGGGTGAAGGGTGAGTGTGCCAGGGTGAAGGGTGAGTGTGCCAGGGTGAAGGGTGAGTGTGCCAGGGTGAAGGGTGAGTGTGCCAGGGTGAAGGGGGAGTGTGCCAGGGTGAGGGGTACCCCCAGTACACAGCAGTAATGAGGTGATGGGGTGTGTATCAGCCAAGGTTTACGTGGAGGTGTAAATATTAACATCATCTGCGGGATTGGTTGTTGCTGATATAGAGGGCGGAGGCTTGCCTGGCCCCGTGGGTGTGGTGGGTGTGGTGTGGTGGGTGGGGTGTGGTGGGTGTGGTGTGGTGGGTGTGGTGTGGTGGGTGTGGCGTGGTGGGTGTGGCGTGGTGGGTGTGGCGTGGTGGGTGTGGTGGTGGTGGGTGTGGCGCGGTGGGTGTGGCGTGGTGGGTGTGGCGCGGTGGGTGTGGTGGTGGTGGGTGTGGCGTGGTGGGTGTGGCGTGGTGGGTGTGGCGTGGTGGGTGTGGCGTGGTGGGTGTGGCGTGGTGGGTGTGGCGTGGTGGGTGTGGTGGTGGTGGGTGCGGCGTGGTGGGTGTGGTGGTGGTGGGTGTGGCGCGGTGGGTGTGGTGGTGGTGGGTGTGGTGGTGGTGGTGGTAGAGTATTTACTATTTGTTCCTGCAGCTCCTAGACCCCCGCTTTTCTAAGCGTTGGTTGTCTAATAACCCGATGTCGCCCTAGCTATTGTTCTCCATCTTTCCTATTACATCTCTCTCTCACACACACACTCAGGTCTATCGCCCAGGTACCTACTTACTGCTAGGTGAACACAGGCATCAGGTGAAGGGAACTGTCAGGAAAATGCGCCAAGCCATCACGACTATATACCATTTGGAAGGGTTGAGGAGAAAGAGAGGAGGGGAAGGAATGGTGACCAACCACTTAAACGGTTATGGGGGATTGAACGCCGACCTGCATGACCGTCGCTCTACCGTCCAACACAAGGTGACTGAACTGGAGCAGCGGGTATCTGAGTATGGAGGAGAAGCGCGCCGTGCCCCCTGGCGGGCGTCCAGGACAATACTGGAGAGCCAAGGGTGGTCGGGGAGGGAGGAGGTGGTGGTCCCTAGCCGGACCTCACCGGCTAGGGAAATTACCCTACCACAACCGTCCATCTCGTCCCCACACACTTACAACATCCCGAGAATAACCGGATAATAGCGCCAGTGCTATTCGCGGTGAAGGCTTGGAGCAGTTGGCGTAACATACGAGGTAATGATGGCGGCGGGTGAGAGCCCCACAAGCCAGCCGGGGCACAGTCACGGCATCAACAACATTCCCCGCCATCACATACCTCGGGGAACTTCCCTGACAGTTTTACCCTCAGGGTCCTGGAGCAGACGTCCACAACATCTCTTACGAGGAAAGAGAAAGACTTCATGGCCAAAGTTTTCATGCTCGTAGGAGGACAAATTTGTGTTTGGGAAATTATTTATAATTCTAAATGTTTTAGATGATGAATATGCGAGTGAGGACTCGTTTGGTGACCCTGCAGCGTGCGGTGGTTTGGTGACCCTGCAGCGTGCGGTGGGAACGGTTGGTGACCCTGCAGCGTGCGGTGGGAACGGTTGGTGACCCTGCAGCGTGCGGTGGGAACGGTTGGTGACCCTGCAGCGTGCGGTGGGAACGGTTGGTGACCCTGCAGCGTGCGGTGGGAACGGTTGGTGACCCTGCAGCGTGCGGTGGGAACGGTTGGTGACCCTGCAGCGTGCGGTGGGAACGGTTGGTGACCCTGCAGCGTGCGGTGGGAACGGTTGGTGACCCTGCAGCGTGCGGTGGGAACGGTTGGTGACCCTGCAGCGTGCGGTGGGAACGGTTGGTGACCCTGCAGCGTGCGGTGGGAACGGTTGGTGACCCTGCAGCGTGCGGTGGGAACGGTTGGGCTTCGTATACCTGGAGCCAGATTCACTTACGCAAACATTTACGAACCTGTACATCTTTTCTCAATCTTTGACGGCTTTGTTTCCAAGTATTAAACAGTTAATGAGCTCCGAAGCACCAGGAGGCTGTTTATAACAATAACAACAGTTGATTGGCAAGTTTTCATGCTTGTAAACTGTTTAATAAATGTAACCAAAGCCGTCAAAGATTGAGGAAAGATGTACACGTTCGTAAGTGCTTGCGTAAGTGCATTCGTGAATCTGGGCCCTGGTCTTGGCAAATGAATACTTTTGTAGTGGAAATATTGATAAAAATATATATTAAACAATTTAGTCTAAATAACAAAGAAAGAACAGAATATATATCTCCATGAAGTGTGCGCCGGTCCCTGGTGTACTTACCTAGTGACACTTGCCTATATCTGTCTGAACGATAGACCTTCAACTCTTGGTCCCTGGCTTTTTTTTTCGTTTTAGCCGGCGGCTATCTAATTATGATAACTCCAGACCTATGATATCTCTTTTGTTTCCATTGAAAATAGTGGATGGAACTGGGTCTTACTGTCGCCTCGTCGGAATGATTTTGTTTCACGTTATATGAGCATTTTCACTGTGTGTGTGTGTGTCTACCTGTCCCCGTACCACCTGTGTGTGTGTGTCTACCTGTTCCTGTACCACCTGTGTGTGTGTGTCTACCAGTTCCTGTACCACCTGTGTGTGTGTGTCTACCTGTTACCGTACAAAATACAATGGTTTACTCCAAAAGCGTCAAACACTAGGCCTACCCACTTGAGGTCCCGGAGGCCAGACTCAGTAGGCCTAGCCGCCAACTCGTCCTCTTTCTCAACTCACTACAATTTTTTACGCAATCTGCCCCAGCGTAAAAATGTTGGCGGTTTAGGGAGACTGAAAACACCGCAATATTGACGCTTCGTGGGGTTCGACAGGCCTAGGCAGAGTCGGCCTAGGTTCTGACTAGTTAGGCTCAACCGCTGCAATTTTTTACGGAGAGGCAATGTAGAGAAGGTAGGGGGGGGATGGGGAGTTAGAATCTCCCTTTGAGTGTTTACCACTCGCCCCCTACCCATCAACACCCTCCTGGCTACTGCTGATCACCCCATTAATCTCCCCACTCATTACTCAACCCCCCCCCCCACACACACACACCAGTCTCTCCCCCCCCCCCCCCGTGGACTCGGGCCTACCACACACTAAACACTAAACTGAAGCTCCCCCCTTTGGTACTGGCTCCTGCTGACCCAATTTGTGTTGAGGGCGCCTGTGTACGGAGCCACACACTTGTTGTGTACAGCGGTCAACACATGTGTTTAAACGTTCCCATGTGACTGCTCACACACACACACACACACACACACACACACACACACACACACACACACACACACACATATACACAAGGGGTGAACACGAACAAGGGGACACAGGTGGAAACTGAGTACCCACATGAGCCACAGGGACGTTAGAAAGAACTTTTTCAGTGTCAGTAGTTAACAGATGGAATGCATTAGGCAGTGATGTGGTGGAGGCTGACTCCATACACAGTTTCATATATAGATATGATAGAGCCCAGTAGGCTCAGAAACCTGTACACCAGTTGATTGACAGTTGAGTGGCGGGAGCCAGAGGTCAACCCCCGCCAGCACAACAAGTGAGGGTACACACACAGGTATGTGAGAGGTTGTACACCCCGCCAACAATGAGGGAGAGCACCTGTATGAGAGTGAGGGAGAGGGCGGTGGTCGGGGGCGCGGCCACAAGCCCTACAACACCGCCAAATATTTGCCTCATCTCCTTAGCCTCGGCCCTCAGCCCTCCTCTCTCACGCCTACGTTTATGTCAGGTGCAAACACTGAGTGTTGAGTGATGGGTGGGTGGGTCCCCTCCCTGGGTGGGTCCCGTCCCGCTGGTGGGTGGGTGGGTCCCCTCCCGCTGGTGGGTGGGTGGGTCCCTTCCCGCTGTTGGGTGGGTGGGTCCCTTCCCGCTGGTGGGTGGGTGGGTCCCCTCCCGCTGGTGGGTGGGTGGGTCCCCTCCCGCTGGTGGGTGGGTGGGTCCCCTCCCTGGGTGGGTCCCGTCCCGCTGGTGGGTGGGTGGGTCCCCTCCCGCTGGTGGGTGGGTGGGTCCCTTCCCGCTGTTGGGTGGGTGGGTCCCTTCCCGCTGGTGGGTGGGTGGGTCCCCTCCCGCGGGTGGGTGGGTGGGTCCCTTCCCGCTGTTGGGTGGGTGGGTCCCTTCCCGCTGGTGGGTGGGTGGGTGGGTCCCCTCCCGCTGGTGGGTGGGTGGGTCCTCTCCCGCTGGTGGGTGGGTGGGTCCCTTCCCGCTGGTGGGTGGGTGGGTCCTCTTCCGCTGGTGGGTGGGTGGGTCCCTTCCCGCTGGTGGGTGGGTGGGTCCTCTCCCGCTGGTGGGTGGGTGGGTCCCTTCCCGCTGGTGGGTGGGTGGGTCCTCTCCCGCTGGTGGGTGGGTGGGTCCCTTCCCGCTGGTGGGTGGGTGGGTCCCTTCCCGCTGGTGGGTGGGTGGGTCAACTCCCGCTGGTGGGTGGGTGGTCCCTTCCCGCTGGTGGTTGGGTGGGTCCCCTTCCGCTGGTGGGTGGGTGGGTCCTCTCCCGCTGGTGGGTGGGTGGGTCCCTTCCCGCTGGTGGGTGGGTGGGTCCCCTCCCGCTGGTGGGTGGGTGGGTCCCTTCCCGCTGGTGGGTGGGTGGGTCCCCTCCCGCTGGTTTCCCTTCCCGCTGGTGGGTGGGTGGGTCCCCTCCCGCTGGTGGGTGGGTGGGTCCCCTCCTGCTGGTGGGTGGGTGGGTCCCTTCCCGATGGTTTCCCTTCCCGCTGGTGGGTGGGTGGGTCCCCTCCCGCTGGTGGGTGGGTGGGTCCCCTCCTGCTGGTGGGTGGGTCCCTTCCCGATGGTTTCCCTTCCCGCTGGTGGGTGGGTGGGTCCCCTCCCGCTGGTGGGTGGGTGGGTCCCCTCCTGCTGGTGGGTGGGTGGGTCCCTTCCCGATGGTTTCCCTTCCCGCTGGTGGGTGGGTGGGTCCCCTCCCGCTGGTGGGTGGGTGGGTCCCCTCCTGCTGGTGGGTGGGTGGGTCCCTTCCCGCTGGTGGGTGGGTGGGTCCCTTCCCGCTGGTGGGTGGGTGGATCCCTTCCCGCTGGTGGGTGGGTGGATCCCTTCCCGCTGGTGGGTGGGTGGGTCCCTTCCCGATGGTTTCCCTTCCCGCTGGTGGGTGGGTGGGTCCCCTCCCGCTGGTGGGTGGGTGGGTCCCCTCCCGCTGGTGGGTGGGTGGGTCCCCTCCTGCTGGTGGGTGGGTGGGTCCCTTCCCGCTGGTGGGTGGGTGGGTCCCTTCTCGCTGGTGGGTGGGTGGGTCCCCTCCCGCTGGTGGGTGGGTGGGTCCCTTCCCGCTGGTGGGTGGTTGGGTCCCTTCCCGCTGGTGGGTGGGTGGGTCCCCTCCCGCTGGTGGGTGGGTGGGTGGGTGCCCTCCCGCTGACACAGTGGGCGGGTAGTGGGCGGGTAGTGAGGGTGGGCGAGTACGGGCTGAGGGACCCCAGTCAACCATGGCCCACAATCGATACATTAAAGTAGCCCGTCCCACCTTCTCAAAGTCCCGCCAAAAACCTCCTTATTTGTTTACTTCTAGTGCCCGTGTGCCCCACGCGGGACACCACAGTTGAAGCGATCATGGGCTCCACCAGGGGGGCGGGAAGGGGCTCCTACGTGCCCCTCAGGGGCTCCCCGCGCGACGCAGGTACAGTAGGGGCGCCGCCCCCTGGTGCAGGGAACAAGGAAATGGTTCTCCCCAGCTCACCTTTATTCGAATTAATGCACACTTTAACAAGGTGACGGCACCCGCCTGACCTGTACGACGGCCTCGTGGACCTGTACGACGGCCTCGTGGACCTGTACGACGGCCTCGTGGACCTGTACGACGACCTCGTGCACCTGTACGACGGCTTTGTGGGCCTGTACGACGGCCTCGTGGACCTGTACGACGGCCTCGTGGACCTGAACGATGGCTTCGTGCACCTGTACGACGGCCTCGTGGACTTGTACGACGGCCTCGTGCACCTGTACGACGGCTTTGTGGGCCTGTACGACGGCCTCGTGGACCTGTACGACGGCCTCGTGGACCTGTACGACGGCCTCGTGACCTGCCCCTACAGATTGGCCACCAGAGCCCCCCCCCCCCCAGCCTCTGTTGCAGGAAGTAACTATCTGATCAAGAGAACAACCTGCAAGAAGTTGAAGGTTGTGGCTATGGTGTCCGTGCGGGGTGTGGACAGTGGGTGATAGTCTTCAAATATGGAGCAAGACTCGTCTGTCTCCCGCACGCCTAACTCCCATATTGGTTCGTAGAGTATGCGTGCGTGCGTGCGTGTGCGTGTGTGTGTGTGTGTGTGTGTGTGGTGTATATGTGTAGGTACCTACATGATCGGGCTACGGCTTGTACCACGGCATTCCAGCTTCCGGTTGTCTAATGCAATGACTTCCGATCTATTCTCCTGTCAAATATATTTTTGAAATTCTGAATGGGTATTTGTTTCAACAACCTACTCATTTGGTTCATTTCACTTTCCTTCAACTTTTACGTAAAATAATAATTCTATAACATCTCTATGGCTCATCTGGTTCTCAGGGTTCCTTATATCCTATCTTGCTCTATTGGGATTCGTAATGAACATTTCTTTTTCCACTATGTCAATTCCCCCTAAGTATTTTATAAGTTTGTATCGTGTCTCTTCAGTTGTAATGATGTTAGGTCCAGTTCTTTCAGTCTTTCTTCATACCTTATGTTTTTCAGGTTCAATATCAAATGATTTGACTGCCTCCTTATCTTGGCTTAGAGATGCAGATTGGAACGTTCTCGTTCCAATCTGCATCTCTTCCTCTTTTTTTCTTAGAGGTATGCGGTTTGAACATATTTCTAGTGCTACTGAGCTTATTTTTTCCAAGCACTGGTTCAGGTTTGCATTTTCTAGCTGTTCTTCCCAGTTTATTTCTGTGAAGTCTTGGTTTATTTGCTCCCAGTTTATCTGTTTATTATTGAAGTTGAATTTGCTGAAATCTTCTCCACCGGGAATCTGGACTGGTTTTGAAGGTCTATTCCCCCTATGCTTGTTAGAACTTCAATTAAGTTGTGATCTGAGTATCAGGTATTTGTAATCATTATGTTCCTGATCAATTCATCATTATTGGTGAAAATGAGGTCCAGCGTGTTCTCCTTCCTAGTTGGTTCTACTATTTGCTGGTTTAAGGCAAACCTGTCGCACATCCGTAGCAGGTCATTTGCATGTGCCTGTTCATTTAGGCTACTGCCTGGTATTCTTTCTGATATAACTGTATTAGCCAGGTTCTTCCATTTCAGGTGCCGTAGGTTGAAGTCCCCAAGCAGGATGATGTTCGGGGCTGGATTTGTGAGGTTTTCCAAGCAGTGTTCTATTTTCATTAGTTGGTCTTTAAACTGCTGGTGATTTGCCTCCGGTGACTTATAAACAAGGACAATACCTACATTTAAGATCTCTACTTTGATTATCAGCACTTCCACCATATCATTTGTGGTGTTTAGTATCTCAGTACCACTGAGATGTGAGGCCACTCCAGACCAGGCCGACACCAGAGCGCAACTCCATTGTCTCCTGAGACTGATGGATGCCTGCTACTACAGATGAGTGTGTCCTTGATGTAGAGGCTGACCCCACCCTGTAGCAGGTCACAACCGAATGAGGTTGTAACTTTTACCCGTATGGAGACTGGTGTTGCTGCTATCCTGTTGAGACTTGGGTAGATACAACACCCAGTGTTTCTCTTCAGTGATTCCAGGGAGGTAGATTATTTACATTCGGTACCGTCTTGATGGGCTCGTGTCATGTGCTCTCGTTTTCACCTCACGTTACATTTGTTGGTGTTGAAATTCAGTAGCCATTTCTCGGATCAACGCGCCACCTTCTCTAAGTAATATTGAAGCATCTTGCAATCATTATATGTCTCTCATTTCCCCTGTAGGTAGTGGTGGTGGCGGCGGGTAAGGCGCCACTGTCACTCGCGCGGGTGTGTCAGTAAACGAGACCTCAAGATGACCAGACCACACACTAGAAGGTGAAGGGACGACGACGTTTCGGTCCGTCCAGGACCATTCTCAAGTCGACTGTGACCGAAACGTCGGTCGTCCCTTCACCTTCTAGTGTGTGGTCTGGTCAACTTACTTTAGCCACGTTATTGTGACTCATCGCCTGCATGAGGCCTCAAGATGACCACCAAACTATAACTCAGAAGATGGAGAAGCGGCGACGTTTCGGTCCGTCCAGAAACCATTATCAGGTCTAGTGAGTTATCTTCAGAGTTGTGGCTTGATCATCATTTCTTGAGCCACGTTATTGTGACTCATCGCGTGAGCCATCAAGGAGATTATCTGCTGGCGAAGCAGCCCGAGATGTTGGCCAAACCCGCAGGAATATCCCCTTGGTTCTTACAACTCACTTCCGACATCATTATTAAAATACAAGATAAAATACAAGTCTTACAATGTTCCGAGTGTGGTTCATGGAGTATATTCCAGTCAGCGTTATCAGTGGGTGGTGGTAGAGAGGGTGAGCAGCGCTGGGTGGATTACTGGTGGGGGTTAGGACGGGACAGCTTCAAGACCTGGGGGGCGGCGCTGGGGGGCGGCGCTGGGGGGCGGCGCTGGGGCCCATCAACCCTTTAACACTACCGGTGGTGGGGGCGCCCCCCCTTCACGCTGCTCACGCCCCACCTACACTTCCGCACCCACTACACCACCACACAGCCACTACCACACCACCACACCCACTACCACACCACCACACCCACTACCACACCACCACACCAACCACCACACCACACACCAACCACCACACCACACACCAACCACCACACCACACACCCACTACCACACCACCACACCCACTACCACACCATCACACCCACTACCACCATCACACCCACTACCACACCACCACACCCACTACCACACCACCACACCCACTACCACACCACCACACCCACTACCACACCCACCACCACACCACACACCAACCACCACAACCCCACCACAGGACTATATACTGCTCTCATCTCTACTCTCGTGTAACACTTACAGCCCCGCTCCTGTGCCAGGTAAGTCCAATACGGGGCTCGCCATAGCCCGTGCTACTTGGAAACTTTTGTTCCCAGTAGCTGTCTCTAACACAACACTCTCATACACGTATGGATGTGCCCAATATCGACCATCCTAGTCATTAATAGTTGACATTTTAATCAATCCTCAGCCTAACCGCTATAAAGTTGTCTACTCAAAAACTGTGCTTTCTAAAATATTAATAGTATTATATACCATAATTCTATTTATACTCAGGTTTAGGTTAGATATTTGGATTGTGTTGGCAATTAATAATATTTAGAGGGGTGTGGTGGAAGCATGTTGTTGTTGTTATAGATTCAGCTACTCCGAACAAGCTCCAAGTAGCACGGGCTATGGTGAGCCCGTAGTGGACTTACCTGGCACAGGAGCGGTGCGTCATTTAGTGAGGTGGGAGTCGAACAGGGAACGCCAGGGAAGCACCCTACGAGACAAGGCACAAGGTCGCCAGCTGTGAGTCACGTGTAGAATGTTTTGAACACATAAACAGAGGCTGGTTGCTGAATTAACCAGCATTTGGCCCTTGTTTATGAAGACGGACTGTTAATTAACCAGCGGGTCGAGGGCTCAACAAGCTATCCAAGGAGGAGGAGGTAAATTCGACGCAGTACTGAAATTAGTGAGTAAACAAGTTACAACGCATCAACACCCTATGCAACCCACGGAGTCAACTGATTGATGACTAAGCCACCATGGAGGTGGGCACGGGCATGAATAGCCCCGTAAATGGAATCACCAGATCAGCTACACGGATCATAAGAGAAGCCAAGAGACGCGTCAACACCTGCAAGAGTGTTACAAGACAGTTGTTGTCACCCAACACCTGAAGCCAAATTACCGTCGCCCCGTCCCCCCCCCCCCTCTCACCTGCTCCAGTGACGAGCGGCTGTTTCTCATATCAATTATAGCAGCCCCCCCTCCCCCCACCCCCCCCTCACAGTCAAGAGGGGAGGTATCCGAGCACCCTAATCCGGCCCTTATGACCCCTGGGGTCAAGGGTCGAGTCCTCCCCCCCCCCCCCGGGGTCACCCGTCACCAAGAAGCCCTTTACTACATTTAAGGATTAGAGAGATTATCAGACGTTCTCTAAATTGAAAGTATTCGTCTTGTGAGACAATGGTGGTTGTCATAGACCAAGCTGGAGCGACACGTGGGGTAGGATATCATCCGTGGGGATAGTCGGGAAGGATAGTTGATGAGGAGAGCATAGTTCAAGGTATAATAGCCAGCTGCTAACTATCGTATTACCCTCGTCTGCTTGACTGCTCACGGGGTTAATTGCCTGCTGGAGGTATGGCGCAGCGTGGACGGTCTTCCCGTAATGTATCGCGCGGTGGGCGGGGCGGGGCGGCGGGGCGAGCGACGGCCAGTGCTGGTGAGGGAATGATTGACGGGGGCATGAAGCCTCAAGACAAGCTGACCAATTAGTCAGCTCACTGTCCCTGCTGACACCCACGTGCCCCACACGTGCCCACACCTGCCCCCACAATATAACGCCCACCCGCATAAGGGATGTCAAGAAGCCCGCCGGTCTCTGGTCCGGCCTCCGGTCCGGCCTCTGGTCCGGCCTCTGGTCCGGTCTCTGGTCCGGCCTCTGGTCCGGCCTCCGGTCCGGCCTCCGGTCCGGTCTCTGGTCCGGCCTCCGGTCTGGCCTCCGGTCCGGCCTCTGGTCCGGCCTCTGGTCCGGCCTCTGGTCCGGTCTCTGGTCCGGTCTCTGGTCCGGCCTCCGGTCCGGCCTCCGGTCCGGCCTCACAACCTCCTCTAAACCTGCTCACCATTAACTATGCACAACTCTTTAAGTAAACCCAATTTCATCATTACTAACGAGCTTATCTTTCTAGGGATTTTTTATTTTATTCGTTGACAAACCATAACAAGAATTTTAGCCTAATTGTTTGTCGTGACTTGTTCTTTGACACACTATTGAGTAGCTCCCTCCTCGCCAATTAACCCAACATGGTCGAGTCGTTAACCCAATACCATAGGTCGACCTACAGTCTTTAGGTCGACCACAGGGATTACTCTGTACATTAGACCACAGGGATTACTCTCTACACTAGACCACAGGGATTACTCTGTACATTAGACCACAGGGATTACTCTCTACACAACACCACAGGGATTACCCTGTACACAACACCACAGGGATTACCCTGTACACAACACCACAGGGATTACCCTGTATACAACACCACAGGGATTACCCTGTACACAACACCACAGGGATTACCCTGTATACAACACCACAGGGATTACCCTGTACACAACACCACAGGGATTACCCTGTATACAACACCACAGGGATTACCCTGTATACAACACCACAGGGATTACCCTGTATACAACACCACAGGGATTACCCTGTATACAACACCACAGGGATTACCCTGTACACAACACCACAGGGATTACCCTGTATACAACACCACAGGGATTACCTTGTACACAACACCACAGGGATTACCCTGGACACAACACCACAAACCAGCCCAGCAACCTTCTCCCAAACAGACCGACCCAGAAATATATAAACTCAAGCATCTCCTACTTTAACTTTAAATATTTGTTTGGCCTTTGTGGAGTCAAGTACACAAATGGTTAATCCCGGAGCCGCCATTAAAGGTGTTGTGTTATCTCAGGGGGGGTACAGCCCCCCCCCGGGAGGTACTGTATTAGGGGGGTTCTATATGGTAGGGAGGGAGCGTGGGGTTTCAGCTCCCGGGATCGGCATATAGTGATTGATGCTTATGATCAGTGTGTGGTTGGTCGAAGCCTTCCTTAAAAGTGCTCCACTCGCATCCTGTCGTGTGTCATTCGCAGCCCTATTACTCTGGTCCAGTGTCATGTATCACTCTGGTCCAGTGTCATGTATCACGCTGGTCCAGTGTCATGTGTCACGCTGGTCCAGTGTCATGTGTCACGCTGGTCCAGTGTCTATGTGTCACACTGGTCCAGTGTCATGTATCACGCTGGTCCAGTGTCTATGTGTCACACTGGTCCAGTGTCGCTCCAATTTTAGCGATTAATTGAGTGATAAAAATTACGCCATCCAAGAGGTGGCACGGGCATGAATAGCCCGTAAATGGTAGATTTTTTTTTGAGTGAATGTTCACTGTGTTCTGAGGTCGCATTTAATATTTTAATATTAGTATATTATTAATATAATATTAGACAGTATTTATGAGGGTCTCCAGCTGCTGGACAGTATTTATGAGGGTCTCCAGCTGCTGGACAGTATTTATGAGGGTCTCCAGCTGCTGGACAGTATTTATGAGGGTCTCCAGCCGCTGGACAGTATTTATGAGGGTCTCCAGCTGCTGGACAGTATTTATGAGGGTCTCCAGCTGCTTGACAGTATTTATGAGGGTCTCCAACTGCTGGACAGTGTTTATGAGGGTCTCCAGCTGCTTGACAGTATTTATGAGGGTCTCCAGCTGCTGGACACCTTTTTTGACCAGAAGAGTGGCAGTGTTGATGGCTTCAGGGTGGTTACTGCAAGATTCAGGGACTCTTAAAAGCTCTTCTAAGGTCGTCGGTTGGTTCGCATTCCAGGAGATTGTGAAGTAGTGGGTTTTCTGTGACAGTTTGGCAGAAGATGCACTCCCTCCGTCTGGGGTTCACCAATCTCCCATATCTGTAACCTAGACGTAGTCTATATAACCCAAATGCCATTTTCCCTGTGGATTCCTTTTGGGATATTGAACCTGTCTAACTTGGTGGGCTGAAGATACCGTATTGCAGAGGGGGAAGCTTACGCCATGTTAGTAATTACCTAAGTGTAATTACCTAAGTGTAGTTACAGGATGAGAGCTACGCTCGTGGTGTCCCGTCTTCCCAGCACTCTTTGTCATATAACGCTTTGAAACTGGCCGGTGTGTACACCTGCACCTCATTATTCTGAGACTCTCACTCTGTTTCCATGTCACGCTACCACTGTCCCTGCACCAGTGGTGTGTGTCACCCCACCACCGTCCCTGCACCAGTGGTGTGTGTCACCCCACCACCGTCCCTGCACCAGTGGTGTGTGTCACCCCACCACCGTCCCTGCACCAGTGGTGTGTGTCACCCCACCACTGTCCCTGCACCTCAGTAAACAAACACCTTACCACCTGAAGTTGTTCCCTCAGAACACCTGTGTGGGTCTGACCAGGCACCACCAGTGCCACCAGTGCCACCAGTGCCACGGCCAAGTAATTATATTTGCTCCCTCTATAGTCGCTGACTGCGTGTAATTACTCCAGCCAATGACGGCTGTCCATTAGGAAAGGCGGCACTAAATTTTACATTAGTTCGGCCATTAACGTGCAAGGGTAACCATGTAATGACCATTGATGTCCAGATAACAATCAGTGCCGCGTGAGTGCCACGTTCAACAACAGTACAGGAACTTGGGGGGGGGGGTCACTGGTGATTTATACGACATGGCTGATGTGGTAGTGTAGGTGGCCTGGTCTACCACCACCACCACCACCACTAACACCACCATCACCACCACCACTACCACCACTACCACCACCACCACCACCACCACCACCACTACCACCACCACTACCACTACCACCACCACCACTACCACTACCACTACCACCACGTGGCTCGCCATCTGCTGCTACTGCTAGGCAGTCCGGTGTTCGGTGGGAGGGGGGGGGGGAAGTCGGGTGTTCGGGGGGGGGAAGTCGGGTGTTCGGGGGGAAGTCGGGTGTTCGGGGGAAGTCGGGTGTTCGGGGGGGGGGGGAAGTCGGGTGTTCGGGGGGAAGTCGGGTGTTCGGGGGGAAGTCGGGTGTTCGGGGGGAAGTCGGGAGTTCGGGGGGAAGTCGGGTGTTCGGGGGGGAAGTCGGGTGTTCGGGGGGGGGGAAGTCGGGTGTTCGGGGGGAAGTCGGGTGTTCGGGGGAAGTCGGGTGTTCGGGGGGGGAAGTCGGGTGTTCGGGGGGAAAGTCGGGTGTTCGGGGGGAAGTCGGGTGTTCGGGGGGGAAGTCGGGTGTTCGGGGGGAAGTCGGGTGTTCCGGGGGGAAGTCGGGTGTTCGGGGGGAAGTCGGGTGTTCGGGGGGAAGTCGGGTGTTCGGGGGGAAGTCGGGTGTTCGGGGGAAGTCGGGTGTTCCGGGGGGAAGTCGGGTGTTCGGGGGGAAGTCGGGTGTTCGGGGGGAAGTCGGGTGTTCGGGGGGAAGTCGGGTGTTCCGGGGGGAAGTCGAGTGTTCGGGGGGGAAGTCGGGTGTTCGGGGGGGAAGTCGGGTGTTCGGGGGGGAAGTCGGGTGTTCGGGGGGGAAGTCGGGTGTTCGGGAGGGAAGTCGGGTGTTCGGGGGAAAAGTCGGGTGTTCGGGGGAAGGGATGTTGGGATGTCTGGCAACATCCCAACATCACCTCCCGCCGTCTACACCACTACCAAAAGCAGCACCTGCAGGGTCACCAGCAGGAGGGCAGCAGCAGCAGCAGCACCTGCAGGAACACCAGCAGGAGGGCAGCAGCAGCAGCAGCACCTGCAGGAACACCAGCAGGAGGGCAGCAGCAGCAGCACCTGCAGGAACACCAGCAGGAGGGCAGCAGCAGCAGCACCTGCAGGAACACCAGCAGGAGGGCAGCAGCAGCAGCACCTGCAGGAACACCAGCAGGAGGGCAGCAGCACCTGCAGGAACACCAGCAGGAGGGCAGCAGCAGCAGCAGCACCTGCAGGAAGCAGCACCAGCAGGAGGGCAGCAGCAGCACCTGCAGGAACACCAGCAGGAGGGCAGCAGCAGCAGCACCTGCAGGGTCACCAGCAGGAGGGCAGCAGCAGCAGCACCTGCAGGAACACCAGCAGGAGGGCAGCAGCAGCACCTGCAGGAACACCAGCAGGAGGGCAGCAGCAGCACCTGCAGGGTCACCAGCAGGAGGGCAGCAGCAGCAGGAGAGCAAGACAATCAATAGGTACTGCGGGTGAGTGTCCGCCAGCCTCACCGGCTGCCCCCACCACCGGACTGTGGAGTGAGCGACCAGGCCTCACCAACAACCACAGACAGTCAGTTATCACCACACAAACGGACAGTTTAAAGTGGTTTTGCCAAACAAGAAACGGTCGAGCCTAAGCATCCCACCTAACCCATCGAGGCCAATGGCCGCAAGACCGAAGCACCATCAACATTGCTAGACTTTAACCTTCCCTAAAGCACCGGATTTTGACGTTATGGTGGAGAGCATTGAGAGGAAGTTTAAGCGCCCACGATACCACAACTCGTCAGACAATGGCACTGGCAAGGGAACTTCAACACTCTCTACCTCCCTCTCCTGGGCCCAGATTCACGAAACAGTTACGCAAGTACCTTGCAAACCTGTCTAATATGGTACATGTGTGCGCTATACTAGGCCTAGGAATATTTAAGTTAGTTTTTTAGCTTCATTTATTTTAAAACAATTCATTACTAGTCAGTATACCAATATCTAAAAGCTAAATACCTACAAATTCGTGACTATTGACGGCCGTCAGAACAGGTACTGTCTAAACAGGAGGATGAGTTGAAAGAAAAAGACTGAGGCCACTGATGTGATAGCAATAGTGGAGACTAAACTAAATGGAATTATTACAAAAATAATATTACCATTGAAATACCAGGTAACGCCAAATGAAGAGACAACATGGAAATTATTATGCTGCGACACTGCTAGTTACAAGTAACTGGATCTTTGAAGGGATTTCCTATAAGGAGACCTACACCTACAAGGTGTGCATCACTGGGATCATCTTGATGGTTTGTAAATGAACAAATCCACAAGGGCCGTGACGAGGACTCGAACCTGCGTCCGGGAG